TTTGCTACGTTTTTTTCTTCTTGTCCAAGTTCTACTTGCTCACTGATTTATAGTAAGATGGGCAGGCCAGTATTGTCAAATGAAGGGATATCCACCCTGATTTTATTCCCTGTAGGATGGGCAGGCCAGTATTGTCAAACACAGGGATATTGTTAAGAATGAAATTAGGCAACTAGGTCTATAGAGTTAACAGAAATTTAATTAAAAATAAAAGCAATTCAGTGAATTGAATAGCAATTTGGTATAAAAGAATACAATTTAGTGAATTGAATAACAGTTTGGTATAAATGAATACAATTTAGCAAATGTATTCAAGTATATATATGTATATATACATGTATGTAATTTTCTAGTAATTAAGCATGATTAAAACATAAGCAAAACTGACCAGGGTTCGGAGAGGGCTTCTCACCCTACCTCACATACAAAACAAAGCAATTCAAACTAAACTTACATACTATGTGCTTATACATATTCATTAATGTTTCTTTTAAGTTTCCTCCCGCTTTAAATTCTTAAATTCTACATCACTATACTTCATAGCACATGCTTCACTTGTTGTTAGGGGTCTTCAGTCTTCTTTTCGTGGTCTTTGGATGAAGGTTTACACTCATCCTCGTTGTCCTCTGGATGGGCTCACAGGTTGTGTGTGCGTACTAAGTGTTGTGTTATGTAAGTAAGCATTATGTTCCAATAATTAGCCTTGCATTTCATAGATAAAACCATAATTTCAGACCCTATGCTTGAAGTTGTTCCAACTTTGTCCATCTCAAGGTCGATTCTGTCTGGAGACATTACTTACCTTAAAACTACATCCTGTGTCCTATTTTTAACATGTAACATCTGCAAAGGAGTCCATCTGCCTTGTAACACTTAATTCCCTTTATTGCTTTCTAATAATAACTTTCCAAATAGTTACAATTTAGTTAGCACGAATAATCTCCATTTATCACAGAAATCCATCCTGATTTTATTCTCAGGAAAACAGGCAGGCCAGTAGTGTCAAATGCAGGGATACCCATCCTGATTTTATTCCCTGTAGGATGGACAGGCCAGGAGTGTCAAACACAGGGATATCCATCCTGCTATCCATCCTGATTTTATTCCCAGGAAAATGAGCGGGCCAGGAGTGTCAAACACAGGGATGTCCATCCTGATGCCTTCCCTCACTGAGCACTTAAGCTCAGTTTGGCATCTTGAGCGCTGAGCTTTTGGCAGGTGTTTCTATACTGATGATTAATTTCAGCAGAGTAGCCATCGTGACAGGCCATGCAAAATAAACGCTACAGAATCACAGCCCTGCTAATTTGCTGCAATTCATGGAGAAAAGCCAGCATACAGCATTTGCTGACAAGATTTCTCTCTCCAATTGATTGCAGTTAACATCATGCTTCCCTTAGGCAGATGAGGATTATAGAGCTCTGCCTTCAAGAAGGAAGGCATTTGCTAATTGCATTCATTAATTACATGGACTCTGCTGAATGGCATTCTCCAGTGTGGAAAAATGCAAAATGTTTGATTGTGTGTATTTATTTGTAATAAAAATGTAAAGCCTTTAGCCAATGATTTAAACGAAGATTTAGTGGGAGTATCAGCCTGAATAGCAAAGTGTGAAGTTCACAGCTTAACATTTTAGTAAGTGATGAAACTAAAGCCAGTACTTAAAGCAGAGGCCAGCACACAACAAAAATACCGCTAAACACACATTATTTTTTTATTTATTCAGACAAATATATAAATACTGATCTAACGAATTACAAAGCATTAAGACTTTTTCACCATTTTCTTCCTGTTGTCCCTTTGTCTAGTTTTAAGGACAACCTGCAATAGCTATTAGATGAAGTTGTCCATGATTCTTCTGCTGTGAAAAATTGTTGGGGCTGGGATGAAAGTTTTCTTTATGCATCATTATGCTGGTTTGTGAAAACCACTGCAGAAGAAAGAAAACAATTGCAAAACAATGAGTTGAGTTTCTTGTTTGTTTGTTTGTACTTGCAGTCTTGCTCTTGTGGAAGCACAGGCCTGAAATGCTTCTCTGGTCATCAGTTTCAGGGGAGATTCAAAAGCTGTGCCCTGAAGCAAGGAAGTCTGAGTTATTGAAAAGAAATTAGAGAGCAAGGTGAGGAAGGTAAAAGGATATGAAAATACTAAAGCATGGGTGAAGGAGATCTAAGCAGGAAGACTGGAAAACATTTCCTCTCCCTTCAGGCCATTTCCTGATGTGTGTACTCGCAGGATCAGCACAGGAAAGGCCTAGGAGCAAGAGAAGGCAGGTGAGGAAAGTTTGGTGACTAGGTGCTGAAAGGCTCCTCCTTTGCCTATCAGTGCAGTGCTGTGCCTCTCCAGTCTCTTGATTCTTAAACTAATCTAAACTCTGACATACCAGTCTTTCATTCTCCTTCACTGTTTGTGTGAAGCGTACTACACACCTTGAGTGGTGTGACAAGGCTGTCCAGTCTGAATGTATCACCATCTAAAAACTTCATTTAAATGTGTTGGATTCAGTTTCTCTCTTCAGACAGCTTGGAGCATGTTTATATAGTTTATCAGAGTGGGCTATAGAGATGTTTTCTTCTACAGCTGACAGCATCCACATGAGACTATTGCACCACAAGATGAACCAATCCTTTAAAATACAGACTGAAATGCAATGAATTAGGACTACTCTGATTAACAACAGTTTTGGGGTTTTTTTTTCTATTTTTGTCAATTTTTGAGCTGGCAGGTTGATAAATTTTAGGGAGAGAGAAGAAAGCCTTTAATTGCTTGCCTTTAAAAAGATGCTTTTGTATGAAAGACTCATCACTATTATAAAACTTGTAATTAATGGTGTCTCTTCAAACAACCTACTGATAACCATTGCTATGTCCAAAGGCCCTGCAAATGCCAGAGTCTTCCTGCAAAATCTGAAGATTCAGTGGAAGAACCTTAAATGGGAGTAGATTGCTGTGTGTATATCTTCAGGGCAGAGGGTTGTTAAAAGGTTGCACATTTAATTTTTATCTCTATCAGCTGTCCCACTAACTGGTTGTTTCTCAGTGGATAAGTTTAGGGTACTCTTCTGAATGGGTCTCTTGCTAGCTTCTTCCTCGAATACCACTTCTTTCAGACTTAAGGGTCAGGGGCAAGGCACAAGAGCATAGGGACTTCCTCTTCTTAAAGTCCCTGGTGGTACAAAGCCTTGAAGTCACTGAAGAAACATCACTTATGTAGCATTTTTCTCCTTTCAGGAATTGTCATCCATAACTATGAAAAACAACATCCTGTGAGTTTGTTTCAAGCTCCGTGCCTCATCACTTCCTTCAGATAAGCTGTGCTCCAATCTCTCCTGGGGAAGGCTGGTGTCCTTGGGGAAGCATGGCATTCCGTGGCTGGAAGTGGCTCCTCCTTTTCGGCAGGCAGAACACCCTTGCAAAGGTGTGGAGAAGCAGGAGGGGAGGCCCCTCTCTGTGCTGGAAGCGCTGCTGCCATTGGAGCACAGGCAAGTCTCTGGACCCTGAGGTGAGGGCTTTTTTGGAGGAGAACACCGAGGTCACCAACAGCGGGCACCTCACGCCAGAGATCCGGCTGCGCCTCCTCACCCCTCGCTGCAGGTTCTGGAGAGAAAAGCCCGACCTGTGGCCTTATGGGGACCCCTTCTGGGCAATTTACTGGCCAGGAGGCCAAGCCCTCTCCAGGTATGCAGCACAATGCACCACAGCTGATAAGTCCAGTGTGCCAGGATGTCGGACCTGGCTCTGTTTGTAGCAATTCCTAGTGATGTGTGTTTGCCTATTGTGGGTGCATTATCCATCCTCCTCTCTGCTTACTCTGGAGTGTCTCAATCTCTGCTGCCTGGCAGCGAGTTCCAGCACCTGCTGTGTAAAATAACTTGTGTCTTTGAAGTAGAAATTGGTTATATTCAGTGGCTATGCATGTGCTGACAACAGGGCTGAATTTGGATCCATGGAAGGTCTGTGAAGTTGCCATCAAAATGTAGTGAGGTGTTTAATTCTATCATTCTAAACAAGAGGATTGCTCTTTTGTCATAATGTGTATGGGTTTTTTGTGGGGACAGACAGGAGTGTGGATGTGCTTCTGGTTTGTTGAGAAAAGTAGTTTAATGCTGATGCACTTGAGCCTGAATAATTCTCCTCATCTAGGATTTCAGCAGCCTTATTTTTGCAGCTTACTGTGGCTTTTAGTCACACCAGAAGCCACATTTTGATTTTGTTTGTCAAAATGTCTTTAATGTTCTTGATTCCCAAGAACTAGAGTTCTTTTATTTTGTAAAATCTCTCACTTAAACAGCAAGAAAAAAAAAATCTTAACTTTTACAGCAGAGAACAAGCTGTCAGAGAGTCCCCACGTAGATGAAAGGGAAGAATCTGAATTGGGGCGTTACTGTTTTTCTGCAAGAAAGCATAAATAAGAAGGCAGTTTTGACCAGGTAAAAGATGAGTCTTACTGTTAAATTATGAGTTGATTAGCCTGCCACGTAGATGAACTAGAGTGCTCCTAAACTTGGGGTATGTAAAATAGATTAACTAATCTCTTCATTTTGTTATCATATGATTTGTATGCTCAGATATTTGGATAGCAGTAATAATTATCTGGCATTTCATTGCTTTATTGTCTTACTGTTTATGCACTGATTTGATGTATTAAGAAATGTCAGAAATCAGCTGCATAATTTGGAAGAGTAAAAAGGGAGCACAAAAACATCTGGTTGCCTCCATAACTGTCCTCCTTTCACAGCTGGCGTTTCCACAGCATCGGGAGTCTCCTATTTCAAGCTGCTACTCTTGGTGTAATCCAAGATTCCTCGTTAACCTAGGAGGGCAGAGACACTGTGTGCACTGTGCCAGGGGATACAGCAGCATCCAGCTGTCCTGAGTCACCACAATCAGCAGCAGTAACTCAGTAACCACTCACCGGAAACAAGGGCCACATCATGCCCTACACAAATTACTAACGGAAAGTCATGGCAAATCCAAGATGAACCCCTAGAAAGGAGAAACACAGCACTTCTATGGAGATCCCATCCCTGTCCTTGGTCCTGGTGGTAAACTAGGGGCTGTCCTTAGGGGAGTGCTGCTAAACATCTGAGCTGCTGAGCCTCAACACAAATGTCCTGTACTTGACAAGGTTACCAGGCCCCTTGGTGCCACTCCATCCATTTGTTCTCAATGTATACCAGTCTTCACATTCCTGTTACAGTTATCTGCACTGGAATCCCCCTGCAAAAGCTGTGCTTACTTGTAGCCCTCTGTGAAGAGTCAGCTATCACTCTCCCTGTCAGAAGATAACACAAATGTAGAATCCTTTCTTGTTTCTACTTCAAAAGAAGTTATGGAAATTGGCAGTAAAATTATGGCAGTTTGCAGTATTTCGTTTCACCCAGGGCTCTTCTCCCTGACACTTGTGGCTTTCCCCTTTGCAGCCAATTGAATTTCAAGGCAGTTGTTAAAATTCTGAAACCTCTGCAATGGTTATAATATGATTCATAGTATTTAACAATAACTGCTACTTGCCTTCTGTCAGTTCTCCACTTCCAGCCTAAAGGTTTTTCAGGATTTCTCTTGGCAGGTGTCAGCAATTAGATGAAGATACACTTTCTGCTCACCACAGCTCTATTCTTTTTCTTGATGCTACTGGGGAGCAACACAAAGCAGTCTCAAAGCATTTGCACCTCTATCTGCATGGCACAGGAAAAGAAAGAGGAGAAATTCCTCTTCTTCGAAGCAGTTGCTTCGAAGCACTGTTTCAGATTGATGGGTGGGCACCATATTCACTGTGAATATATCATGTTTGTTCAGTCAGATTGCTCTTAATTTCTACAAATCCTTTACTATTTATTGTGCATTCTGATGAATTCTAGTTACCTAGAAGTGTCTTTCTTACCAGTTTGTGTCTACTTAACAGAAAAGCTCACCTGTCAGAGAAGGAGCTGAATATACTTGGCTGAATTTATTTTTGTTTGTGGGTGGGAGAGGAGTAAGGGAGAAAAATGATGGTTCTTGATTTTTATATCATCCGAGACAAATAAGGAGTTCTGTGGCAGCTGCACATGTGGAATAGCGTTAAGGTACCACACTTCATTACATGTTTGGCAAGAAACTTATGCAGTGTAATGTAAACCTGAGAAATTTGCATGATCTGGTTCACTGCTTCAACAGCTTTTCTTTTTCAGGTACATTTTAGATAATCCACGTGTGGTTAAAGGGCGATCAGTTCTGGATCTTGGAAGTGGATGTGGAGCAACAGCAATAGCTGCTGTGATGAGTGGTGCATCCCACGTCCTTGCCAATGACATTGACCCTAGTAAGGCTTTTTTTCATCTCTGTGTAAAGATACTTACTAATTTTTAAATCACCTTTAACACAGACTTTTCTTCTATTTGGGAGAAATTCAAGTTCCAAACAGAACCCTAAGAATGCTAAAAAGAGGAATGGGTTTTGCCAGTATTGGAAGCTGGGTTGTACCAGCCTTTCTTGGCCCAGGTCTATCTCCATAGCTACTTAGAACAAACAGGAAAGTTTCTGTCAAGTGTTGCCCATACACCATCACAGCTGGTTTGGATGACAGCTCCAAACACAAGGAGCAAGCTGGCTTCTCTGTAGGACAGTGGCATTTTCCTGTACATCAGGGCCTAGATTATGGCATTTTCCTCTAGACTTTGTCTTTCCATAATTGACTTATGAATACAGTTTATTTGTAATTTAATTACTCATTAGTTAGGAAGGAAGTATATCCATAGATTAAGGCAGTTATTATATTCTGCTTCAATTCCATGATTGGTTTCTATTGGTATCCATTCTAGGAATACTTCTTCCCTGTGTCATGGTGTAACGAGGATAAAATTTCATCACTTCATGCTAGATTTTGACTCATAATAAAAACTGTGGAAGCCCCCTAGACAGGATGAACAACAACATTTGAGAGATTAAATTGAAAGATGTGTCACAGAAATGTGTAAGGGGGCTGACTCCTAAAAAGTAACTTTAATTTTCCTATGACTTTTCTTCAGTTGCAGGAATGGCAATGATCTTGAACTGCGAACTGAACCACTTGAATCCCTTCCCCATCACCATTAAGAACATCATCAATTCAGAGGCTGGCAACTGGGACCTCATAGTTCTAGGAGATATGTTTTATGACGAACAACTTGCTGATGGTCTGCATCACTGGCTGCAGAAGTGCATCAGGATTCACCAGACTGAAGTGCTGATTGGTGACCCTGGCAGGCATCAGTTTCTAAGCCACAGCATTCACAGTCAGCTGCACAAAGTTATAGAATATTCACTGCCTGAGTATACGAGACAAGAAAATTACGGGCTAACATCAAGTATCGTCTGGAGTTATCAGCCCTCAAACGGCTTAGATTACTCTTGAAGCTGCCTTTCTATGGGATTTTGTCTCACTTGGTTGGCTTTTTGCCGTTATATAAAATGAAAACGGAATTAAACAGAGAAATTATCTGTTAAAGTAAAGCAGCTTACTGTACGTACCTCGACTGGACTGATTTCAATCATACTGAGGCTTTTGCTCAATTTGAGGTAAAAGCTACATGCAAACTGTGTTCAAAGGGGCCTGCACTGAAGTGCCGATCTACAAACAACTTACATGTAGGAGTTTGCATGCTTGATGTTTCCCATGTATATTTGTGTCTTGCTGACATTCCTGTGAAATGTTTTGGATGTCCAGCATAAGACTGTGGGGAGGGGGCTGTGGCTGAAGGACTACTTCACTGCTTCCACAGGCTTTTGCAGCTTCTTTATAGAAAATTTCTAAATACAGAAAATTATTGCTGCCCTCCATAAAATTCTCCACTAGATTATTAGCTCATAATATGCTCAACTTGAAGTGCCTTGTTTTTTTTCTTGGGTATCTCTTCTGAATGTCAAAGTAACTAAATTGAAACCACCCCCCCCCCCTTCCCTCTATAATAAAAATTTCCTCTTCCTTGAAACTGCCAGAGTGATTGTGTAGGACTTGCACCCAAATCTAAACTCTGCTTCTTGACTGCCAGCCAGTGTAAAAGCTTTAATAAATGGAAAGTGAATAAATAGTACCAGCTATGGGGTAACTTCATCCCCTTGAGAGTAGGGTCAAGTCATGATCAACATTCCCTACATTACCCTTTGCAAGGGTAAACCAGGCAATGTCACCTTGGGAAGCTGCTGAGGGATGAAGTCTTTACTTCTGTGACAAACAGAGGGTAAATAAATAAAAACAAGGAATAAAAGCCTGATATAATTATTTTGCTCTTCTCTTGAGGAGATGCTGGACAAACTCCAGAATCATTCTCAGTTTTATCAGTCAACTAAGAACCAGTTTCATCTGCCAAACATGATAAAAAAAATATCTGATCCTCAGGTAAGATGTTGTAACTGTAGCCAGTTGAAGAAGAAGCCAGTCTCAGAGCAGTCTTACAGAAGTGTCAACTTTAGCAGTCAATTATTGAACAAGCAGAGAGGGGGAGCTAATAACTGCACCATAGAACACAGTGCACCTACAACTCTCCCAATACCAGTTGGTGTGGTCGAAGCTTACACATGTGAAAGAGTGTGTGGCACTCAGAAAATCATGGTATCCATGAAGTAGAAGGTTTAGGAGCACAGTCAAATGTACATGGTTCTATAATCCAACAAGTTTTCAGAACTCTCCAAACACCCAACTTCTAAACTTTAATCTTCAGAACAATATGTGAATATTCTGCAAGGATCACAACAATAACAATATCCAAACAATAGAGAACATGAAGCAGTAAGCACATCCATGAGGCTCTTCTTCCACTTCACCCAGTGCCTGTAAACATTTGTTGAAAATTACTATGAACCAAAAAACATTCCAGTAGAGTTATGCAAATACTAAACACATAAAGGCAGACTCAAGCTCTAATGGTGAAAGATTTAAAATAACTTACATTAAACTTTCAAACCTAAAAATACAGTGTTACCTTGTACAGCTTTTTAAGCACCAGTTGAGGATGTACCTCTAAGTTACACATTGACAAGAGGCTGTAGGGGAGGATGGTAAATCTACAGGCACACTTAAGGACACAGTATAAGCTGCATCTGCCTTCAACATGACAAATCCAAGGTTATATCAGCAAGGAGAAAAAGGGTAACTTTGACACTGAGGTTAGCATTAGCATTGCTTCACAGAGCTGCCTAAACAGCTACACAATTCAATATCAAATATAGTGCAACACAGATTTGTCCAAGAGCTCAAAGGAATGGTGGGCCCTGACTGATGCCAGAGATTCCACAGGGCTTAACAATAAGCTAATCTTTAGGAAAAAAAACCAGAAAAACAAAGGGGAAATAAAACCTGGTAATTAGGTTATTAGGCCTCTATCTGGCACAAGGATTTGCTGCAATGACAACTGTCAGATGCTTGTGGCTACTGTAGCAAAATCAACTTCTTGCACCAATGGTTTGTACTGGTGCAGTTACACTCACAGGGATCATAGGAACACATCACTGAGCTGAGCCATGCAACAAGAATAAGGGATTTATGTGCTGCTTTTGGAAAAATAAGCTTTTAGTTACACCTGAACAACTTTTCTAAATAGACTTGCACTTTCATAAACCATATAATGAACAGAAGAACAAAGAAAGTTGTCAAACATCATAATATTCTTTAATATTGTCAACAAAAAATATGTTCCATGCAATTAGACCTGAACTTTTAATAGATTAATACAAGACTGGTTTATTTCTTCAACACTTAGGTGTGGCTATGACAAGAGTTAAATGGTAAACATGTTCCTTATGGTTGCCTAAACTCTTTAGGTTTCCAGATGTCATCAAATCCATGTTAGACCACTATAACTAAACCCTTCTACTTCCAGATCTAGAGGATGAACCCAGTGTGTTCCATGCCCTTATAAAGCTAAAATGGCTTGCATCAAGGAGCTTAATGCAGAAATCATAGAATTCTCACTAGAGGGTATTCTGGTTCAAGAAAGCCAAGGAACATGACTGGTAATTGTGTTAAGAGCGCTGCTCCATCATGTAATAAACTCATTCTACAATTCAAAAATTAATTTTTAATATGACTATACTTGAACAATAATTTTTTGGTATTTTCACCTTTTTGGGCCCCTGGATGTATAATGGACTGCATACAGCAGAACACATACTCTACCATCCTGTGATTTATGTCCCCAGACACTACATTTGGTCCTATTTCACTCACAGATACGCTTATGAGTACCAATGTTTTGTTCCCTAAAAGGATTTTCCTGTAGAAACACAGGCAAAATACAGAGCAAATGAAATATTTTCCCATATAGAAAATCCTTTTCTTGGTCACAGCTACTACTCTGAAATTTGTAAAGTCACCGTAACAGTTCCAAAGCAAGTTTATGTTTACACATTCACAGGCTGTAGTTTTGGATGTGTAAAAATCCAGCAAGTATTTGATGGTAAATAAGAACAGAAATCTGCAGCATCAGTAACATCAGAAGAAAGGTACCTACATTTTTTATTTCAGTCTTAGCAAAAGTACATGGTGAAAGGAGGGTCTTTGTTACTATTGAAAGTACATTTGTACTGATGTTAATGCCACCTCCATTCACCAGTTCTGTCTGTTGATTTTTGTTAAACTCCCAACTTTACAGACATTTCTGTGTGTCAATGTTATGTTTGGGCTCGGTACTTTTAGCTGCAAGTACCATCCCAGAATACAGAACTCCGAACACAGACTTACCTAAACTGGGTTTGTACAAATTACTAAATTGCTAAAGGATACTAAGTAGCAGCCAAATCCAGCACTTCTTGAAGCCTGAGCAACGGCCCTGTAATATTAATTACCGTTTAACTTTCCTCTTGATGAAGTATGATCAATGCAAAGACAGACAGGACTCAGAGGAGATACAATGGGGAAGCCGAGGCTCACAGGCAAGGACTGGAATGGCAACGGAGACCTCCAGTGGGAAGCAGGAGGGATGCAACCTGGTGGCACAAAAGTCACCAGCTAGCTCTCCAAGGTGCATGTTTGCTGAAGGAGCTCTCCCACCTGTAAACTTGACACTCACATGTACAGCATAAATCATCAGTAAACAGTCCAAGTTAGTTGCTTGATTTTGTTTGATATGATGAGTTGCTCTAAAGCATCTCGGGAACGATCTGAAAAAGAACAAAGGAATTTCTTGTTTTTCATTCAGATTATAGAGGTGCTTGGAACAGATACACAACACAGTAAGGGAATTCTATATCTGTATTTATGGTTCTTTTGCTATCATCACACTTCAGATACATCTGTAGGAATCCAAATCCTCTTGGTTCTTTCTCCAACCACCTAACTGTAAAGCATCACCAACCAATGGAATTAAAACACCCATAGGCTGTCCTACTCCATTCCACTGTTTCTTGAATGGATGCTATTCCACACTTTCAGAACAGAGTCGGGGTTTAAGATGCTAGCATTTTTCTGAAGTCTTTGGGTCTCCATCAACATGCTGAGGGGGATAAAAAAAAGGAAGAAAAAATTCCAGTTTCCAAAACAACAACAAAAAATTCTCTCTCTGAAGGCTGCTACATTTCAAAGCATAACTCTCACCTTGCTTTGAAAATCTCAGTGTATGATTATTTTATCTAGTAAGTGATTAATTTGTTTGGGATTACTTATGGAGTACAGTGTGCTTTTCAGAAAGCAAGAAGGTATGATCAGCATGTAATTACCTTCTTATGATTAGACCAACCTGTTATCAGTGGGCATCCATGGAACAGAAAAATGTGTATCTTGGGACAACAGCTAAGGACAGCTTCCACAGCCACGTCTGTCAGGTTCACACAGCGCTCCATGTGTATCTCCTGTTAGCAAAACGTGAATGACAACAGCCTGTCAGAGCACCCAGAGTTTCAGAGGCAAAGCTTTCCTTTGCCCAACCAGTTTCAAAGATCTCCAACCAGAAGGAATTATGACCTCTGTGCACTGACCTCATATGTGGTCCTGTACAGACCAGGAAAATATCAATCTAAGGAAAAATAAGACAGCTTTTCCGGAAAGGGTCTAAACTAAAAACATAAACCTGAGTTTTTCCAACACACACATACCATTCAAGACATCTGAGAAAACTCTTCAATGAGATTCCATGGTGAGTCCCATCACTTTGACATTCTCATACCAATTGATTGTCCAGGAGAACAGAACCCAAACTAAATTCTGGTGTTTCCCAAAATTTCCCCAAATAGCCTCTGCTGGAGTTTCTAGTATTTCTATTTATTTATTTTTAGTATTTCTATCTATTTATTTTTACATGGTTCCTAAAAAAAATCAAGTAACTTCTTCAAGATTAGATTAAACCCTGCTCTTTTCTTAATTTCTCTTCAGTTGTTCAACTACTGCCTCTTGTACATGCTAGGAAAACATGAAAAGCAGAATAAAGAAACAGATTATTACCAGCTTTTTTCCTGTCCTCTAAATTGCCTTACCTATCAATAAATACAAGGTACAAGAAGAAATGCAGAAAAAAGACCATTTAATGAAATCCAGTGAAATTAGGATTTGGTAAAATATTTTGGAGATCGTAGGATAAAAGCAAAAAAAGCATTGTCTTATTGGAAAGTTTTTCCAATTTATAAACTCCAAGGATCTTGAAAGATGTAAGAAATGAAAGTCAGTCAGTAAAAACACTTCCTCAGAAGAAATGTTGCTGATAATAATAATAATAGTAATAATAGTAATAATAATAATAATAATAATTTTAAATTGCAGGTATTTTCTTTTGTTCGTCCTTCTGTTATTAGGTTAAGTCAGTTACCTTTAAATTCTTCGAACATGTTCCACTCACTAGTGCTACAACACCATCATCTGTTACCTGGAGAGAAAAACCACAATGGATTAAAGCTCAGTTTTTTCAAACACAGCTATTTGGATGCAAAAATCATATTAATTTATTCACTCCCTGCAGTGAGTGAATACAGTTAACACTACAGTATTTTCTTCCCAACTAAACTTGTATAGAAAATTAGCCAAGCTGCCTTTTTTTCATTCTATTAAACACTGTTTCATTTTTCTGCTAAGTGATCCAGCCTGGCTTTCTGCAAGGATGTTTCCAAGTGTGTAACTGCTATTCCTGCAGCTTCCTTCTCTCATTTAACAGTGGATACACTAATACCGTCAGAGCACAGCACTTTTAATTTATAGGTTTAAAAAGCATTTCTGCTCTACCTAGATCAATTTGGGTTGGGGAAAAAAGTAAACATAGCAGAAAAGTATAAAAAAAAAAAAAAGTGTAAACATGTAGTTACTCAAGAAGCTTTCACCTCATTTAAAATACACACAGGGAAACAGCTATTGTCTATAAAGGAAGACAATCAAGGAAATAAAAAAGCAATGAAGTAAATCTGGAGAAACAAGAGTTAAATGGCAATAAATAAAAATTACCAAATGAAATATTAAGACTCTTTTGATACCCTACCTCTGGAAAAATTGAAAGAAGAATAGCATCTAAAATAAGAACCTCCTACATAATTTCCAGAACTGACATTTCATTGTGAACGCTCAGTACTGGACTCACATTTAACATAATTACTCACCATCAGTGTCAATTGAATGCTACACTTACTGCAAAAAACCTTTCCCTCGCTTCATTATCTCACTGTAATTATGAAATATGTTACAGGATTGCTTTTGCAGCTTGTCTCCCCCTTCTCAAGCTAAATGCTGTTGTTAAATCTTCTTCCCTGCCATTTCCAACATTTAAAATGTTGTTTTTTCAGTGTTGACTCTGTACCATAACTCTGACAAGCACAATCACTCTTAAATTATCATTTAATTACAGAGTGTTTACTTCTACTAGGGGCTTGTATTGTTTAACATCCTAGATTATTACCTACAGCAGTTTGTCCTAACTGAAAGCCGGCAATGATCTGTCCAAGATCCTACTTTCTTTAAATTGAATATTTTGGATTACTTTACCACTTGAAAAAAATTATTGTGCTAAATAAATATACTAAAAAAAAAAAACCAAAAAAAACCAACCTAGGTAGATTCTAACAAAGGTTTATCTTTGGTTCACTATACATGCTCTAATACCAAAATGTGTATTTTTCCAGTCACCAATAAGCAAAATATACCTTTCCTTTTCCTTAAAAGGCAAAAATTAGAAGTAAACTATGGTCTAAAATCTTGTCAAGAGCAGAGCAAAAACGATCCACTTTGAACTTTATCATGATAATCTTAAAAAAGAAACAAACTAAAGCCAATTGGCCAATTGCCACTGTAGTTACCTGAGTAGATGAGAAGTCCACACTGTGAAGAAATTTGCAGTTTTCTCCTAGTGCCTGCAGAGATGCATCCATGATGCCTGAGCAGCTCCCCAAGTTCACTATTTGAAGGAATTGGCAGTTGAGTGCAAGAGCCAGAATTCCACTGTCAGTTATATCACAGCACCTTTTGAAAGACGCTTCACGCAGGTAAGGACAGGATAAGGCCAGTGCTATGACTCCTGCCAAAGAAACAACTTGAAAGAGTTATTAATTCTTTAACACAACCACCATGCTGAGTCCAAAGGCTCTGGAACAAGTTTTGAGGAAGGAACAATTAAGATAAAGTGGAAAACATGTTGAGCATGGCATGGTTTTACCAGAAATCTAGCAGGAGAGTAACCTGATAGCTCTCTCCTAGGATAACTAGGCCTAGGAAATTTACACCACTGGAGAGACTTTTAATTAGTACTGGGGTGGCACTGGGGATTTTCTTTAAGCAATATTTACCCTAGATATTTTCTTAGCAATTTTTTTTCCAATTTAACAAGAAAAATAAGCCAGAAATAAGATCCCAGTTATCTGTGAACAGATAACACACCTTCTGAAGTAATTCCAAATCTGTTCTCCTTGCAAGAATTTAAGTTGATTTTTTTCAGCTGCTTGCAGTTATAAAGCTGCAATAATGCATTATCTGAAATATCACAGTCTCGGAGGTCCAGAGACTCCACAGCAGGGTGCAATACCTGTAATGAAAACCCACCATTTCAGTCAAACTCTGCTCTGCCATCAAACATCTGCACTTTTATATAAAGTACTTGTAATATTAGGCATCACATAGAAGTTTGCAATATAGGGTGGGGTTACCAGTCCTAGGAACTAAAAACTAAAGAAAATCTGGTCTATTTGTGCAACAGTTCAGCTCCTACAGCATGAACTGTTTCTGAGACATACAGAGTAGGAACACATTAATACTTAATGTGTAAGTAATGGTACTTAAACAATGGAAATACAATCTTAGTGATTCACTTGCTACGTGTGTACCCAGGACAACGCCCTCACACCTGCTAGCACACTTTGTGGGAAGAAATCTGCAGTGCAAAAAAAAACACTGTGATCAAAACTTCAACAGGTAAGCACAACAGGTAAGAGTGATATTTGGAAGGTATTTTCCCCCGAAGTATTTTTCTCACTCCCACACACTCTTTTGCTCATAAACAAGCACTCTCATTACCATACCATGAAGAGGTACCAGATCCTCATTAAATGGGATCTTTCACTCCCCCAAGACCCAGATTGGAATTTTTGTGAAATCTTTCCCAAGAGAACATTTATGAAAGTTAGACCCAAAGCAGTGGAAGGCCTCCGATTTTAGTAATAGCCATATACTCCCTTCAGCTTGTTACTCCCTTAACTCCCAGGGATAGAAACATAAATTTCCATAAACTAGCAAAGATAACAGCACAGCTGACAGGCTTGTTAAAGGCCTACTCCTCCTGGTGTTCACTCTAATAAGGTACTACAAGGAAAACTGGCTGTTTTGCAAATATATAAAGATTTTTAGATAGACAAAGGGTTGTCTGGATGCAGCACACAAAAAAAAAGATATTTAAAAATACAGGTTTGTATTCTGTGGACACATGTTGAATGGCTTTATAAAACTAGCTGGTAAAGGGGATTTAGAATAAAGAGTTTGACATGTCTGTGGATGGCTGGTCCAAGCAAAAAGCAGAGCAAGGGGGAAAAAGACACATGATAACGCAAATTTGGACAGAATAGGGAGGTAAGAGATTAAATAGAAGTTTACACAAAAGTTCAGATTAACAGAATTTCATCTGAAACTTAACTTCAAGCAAAATTCTTAAAAAACATACCCTGAAAAACAGAGAAAACATATGAAGTATGTGTATAAAAACAAATGGGAAACTGCTAGTAAAGAAAGTTAAGGTATAATACAACCAAAGAAAATGATGACAACAGAGGATAGAATTGCAGGAAACTGCAGGAACAGAGAAAGAAAAAACATGAAAAAAGAACCAGAACAGAATTTTCCCAGAGTCACAAGGAAAATAGGCTCCAAGAGAAGGCACTGATCAACTGCTGAAAGATGACAAATACAGAGGAGACTTAAGAAAGAGACAGCAGAAAAGTCTGTAAATTAAGGTCTCAAGTTTATTTCCAGACTAAAAATATCCTAGTGCATTTTGTGCATTCATGCACACACAATCACATGGCTTTAACTATATAATCTCTTAGGATGTTTTGAAATTATCCCTTACTGAAAAGGTAACCTAAACCAGATTTTGTCCAGGCAATTTTTCAAAAAGTAGATAAATTAATAAGAATTTGATTTTTACTCAAAGACTTACTTTGTGTAAACATGAATCCTTTTATCTAAAGCTAAAATATTTGGTTTGTAAGTTTTCCACAGTGCTTCTGCCTCTAGTCTTGGCTCCACTATCCGGACTCTGAGAAACTGATAATATTTGTCTCTTGAGTTACAGGGCAAAGCAGGAATGCACAGGGAGTCATTAATTTTCTGTTTCATCAAGGCCAACCTTTAGCTTCCCTCAATTCTCACACCTCCCTTTGAGGCTGAACAAGATAACCGTAAACAGATAGCAAAACAGATGTGTCCCTGAATTTACAGCTGAAGAAATATCATTAACTGGTGTCTCATTGAAACACTGACACACATCAGTGTGCAAAAGGGATGGGAGAACTTTAACTATTGATTTCTAGCTCTGCCATCCTTATATTTCTAGGAACCAAAATTTAAATAAACTATATGGAGATTGTGTGCTTAATGTCAATAGAATTCTACCGACAGAGTACTGTCAAGCTGATGAAATATACAGCTTTACCTGATATATATGAAGTTTTACATAATAGACATATAATAAATTATGCATGAGCATCTCAAAACACACAATACTCAGGAACAGACTGGTGTGCAAGAGAGGCTGCTTTCCCCTCCCAAAACAGACAGTATAGTTTAGAATGGACTCTTACCTCACTGATATTTGCATCAGTTATTTGCCCTTGCCTACTCATTAATTTAATCAGTTTATCCTTTATATTGGGTGGCAAGGGCTTAATATCTGCAGAGTATCTGGACAAGTTCTTTGTCAAACACTGAAGGCATCTGAAATAAAGAAAAGTTACAGTACAGTCAAAAAGAGGCATTACATAGTAGAACTAGAACAATCAAGCCATAAATTGTTATCTTCTGCATCCAGCTATGGTCTCCTCAGACCTTATCAGTTTCAGCTGTTCCATGTTGCCATTGATTCAGCTATTGCCCTTTGGGGTCAAGCATCCTTCATCCTTCTGTGAAACTCTTCCCTAAGCAGCTGAAGGCAAAAATCAGCCCCTCAACCATTTTTTTCTGTGCTTTCCTCAAGCTGTCTCTGAAATTCGCAGTTGCAATGTGAGCTGTTCAGCATCTGATCTGGTTGAAAATCCCCTTGACTAAAACTCTGAGGACACAGAAACAACAGTGCCAGGATAAGTGGCTGAGTGCAGGGTGCAGCAGCAGCCTGGAGTAATGCCAAATTAAATTTAGCATAAAACCACAGCTCTGGAGTCCCTACAGGCAACTGGTTTTGCAACAAAACCTTGTCTGGCATCAGAATGCCACCAAACTGCAGGAAACTAAAATCACACCAAATAAAAGCTTTAAAGAGGTCAAAATATTAATGCTTTATAATCTGAAGGGTAGCACAGACTTAAGGCAGGAAAGAAGCAAGATTTCCATCATGGAGTCACATTAAAAAAAAGCCACTAAAGTTCATACTGAATCAAAGGTTTAAAAGAATTTAGAAGCTAAGAATGTAGTTACCAAGACAGAAGCAATATATTTTGATTCAGGGTTTAGCAAGAGGAATAGAAACTATGTAGATGGTTAATTATTACCAGATGGACCTAGGTAGAGCTAAGACAATATATTACTTGCTTGACTTAGTTGTGTTTGTAGAAGGAGACAAGAAAGATGAGCTATTGTAAAGATGAAGAAACTGTAACTACACCTGGGCCCAAAACCAGCCAGAACCAGGCTGGGGAGCTTGGACCATGGCCAAGGGTCCAGAGAACCTGCCAACAAGGCAAAGGTGAAGAGTTTAATGAGAAGAAAATGTCCTTGACTTCATCTTAGGAGACCACTGACCCATTTCGAAACCCACTGACTCATTTTGAGGAAGGACTTTGAACTCATTTTAATATGAAGTGGGGGTATGCAAGGTTAGGTAATGCATATATATAGGTATAGTGAATAATTATATGAATATATAAGATTTTTGTGGATAAAAAGAGGGCAAGAGCCCCATGGATTTTGCACATGCCTTTGGAGATTACTCGTGGTGTGCTTGGTGTTTGTAACAAACATACACTTTCTAACTTTAACTGAAGTTGGAAAGTCTTTGTCTGTGCATCAGTACAGTGTAGGAAAAGCACCTCAAGCAGGTCACTGCAGAGAACACTGTAGGCAGGAGACATTTCAAGCAGAACCTGGGCAGTTAAACCCAGGCCTTGCCTGCAGAGACCCTTATACACCCAAGCACACACCAGGATCAGCTTTAACTCATTCCTTCAGAGATGTGCAAGCATTCCATGCCTTCACGGAAACCTCAGTGACTGCTGGATGAACTTGGCTGACTGACCAACAGAGAAGCCCGTACCAAGCTCTGTCTCCGTACATCCAGGTTACACCATCCACATTCTTTGTTTTGAGATTAAACAGCTTATCTATATACAACATTCCTCAACTTGACTTCAGAAATTAAGAAAATTGTTTGTCTTTTAAAAATAAAAAATCTTATCAAAGATAATAAACACACCATTTATTATCATCTCTGAAGACCACAAATGTGAACCTGCTCGCAGGCAGGATCTGTGCAACATGGTGAGCAGAAAGGAGGGGCTTGTCTCACTAATACAGCTTCAAAAGGGACCTGTAAATCTAAACCAACTACTTAGTTCAAATTTGAAGAAAATACCCCAAACCCAGCACAGATACATGGAAATCAATGTGAGCTATGCCAGCTGTCTCTTACCATGGCATATTAAATTTAGCTTGAAGGGCTATTAAGATTAATCACATTTTTTTCAAAAAGCTGGTTGATATTAGCACGGTACAATACTGATCTGCAATTTAAAGAATTATTCATTAAATTATAAAGGTTTTCACAGTAATTCTACTTTATAGGAAACTATAGGACACTTATTGGCTGCACCATGGTAACTATAATCTTATCTTTAGTGCTGTAAGGTACAAATAATAACCTAACTGTACTCTTTGCTAGCTATTTTCCTTTTATCTTTCAAATGAAATATTTTATTCCTGTGCTGTTTCTAACTTCCTCTGGAACACAAAGGAATTTGACAGATAACACAGAGAATAAAAATTTTCAGTTCCCCTTCGAGTTGCAAGATAGAGCTTAAAGACTAAGTAGCAAATTAGATAAAAGAATAAAAAAGCAGACACACAGGATGCTAAACGTAGCTGGAACCAGTGGATAAACAGATAATGAGGAATATAGCAGCTTCTGTGCCGAAGTTATGTAACAAGAAGCAATAGCGCATGCCCTAAGAGAAGTTCAAGGCAAAGTCATCCTTTGCAACATTGGGGACACTTGGTGACCACCAGAGACCCCTTCAGATGACCCTCTAGGACCACGAAAGGACTTCCAGTAAGACGTGGATGCATGCAAATTAGTTCCAGGAAAGTGATATTTACGTATTAGCCAGGAACTGCGCTTTAAAGAATACATAGGAGCACTATGGAATAAACATCTTGTAAAGTGTCACGATATACTCGCTTAGAGGAAAGATCCTCCAGATGTGTCCAGCTATGCAATAAAGAATGCCTGCTTTCTAATGCTTCAAATTGTGATAAATAGAGACCCTTTTGTTCGCCTAAGCATATAGATATGATGCTTTGCAAAACTGTGCTTTGTGAAATCAGGATGTAGTTGAAGGCTGCTGCTGACGCCTGCATAATCATTTACGGCCTTGCGAGCTTTCTTGAATTCCAGAAAGTTACCAAGATAAGCCCTAAAAGGGAACAGCGAAGAAAGGTCAAAAGGATAGGACTGAGGAAGACTCTTGATCTTCATCCCGCGACCACCAGAAGGCAGAGAAAAGACCCCCTAGCAACTGGAGACACATGCGCAGAGACACCCGAGAAAGGACATGTAACCCAGAAGCCGTACCACTTAAAAGGGAGAACGCGGAAATTAGAAGCGCGGCAGTTGGCGGAGCGGAGACTCCCCTGTCGCCCAGCGCTGATTTCCTTTAATTGAATCATATCACTCTCTTGAGTGCATTCATAACACAAATTGTGTTAGAAAATTTGTTTGCTAGCCTATTTCGGTATCAACATGGAGAAAAACCTCAGAGCAACACACCATTCACTGGATTCTCTAGGGCCAGGTGAAGCCAGGGATCCTCAGCCGTCCCTCCACACCCAGATCTGTCAAGGATCATCCTGTTACCTCCCTGCCAAATTTTGTCACCCCTGTCACATGCCCTATAACTCCTCCCAAAGGGGCACCTCTGACAATCCCTGCAGCCCCCGAAGGCTGCCGAGCCCTGCCAGCACCCACACTGGCTGCACCCGCTCCGCCACCGCCGCCTCAGGCCTGCCGAGCACCGTCCCCCTCCCAGTCCCCGGGCCCGGCCCCCTGGCGGGGCGGGCGGGCGGGCGGCAGCGTGTCGGGGCGGCACTCACAGGTCCAGGAGGAGCCGGACTTCCTCGCCGGCGCCGTCCCAGCTCATGGCGGGGAGCGGGGAATGCGGCGGGGCCCGAGGAACACAGCGGGGAGCGGGGAATGCGGGGATGCCGGCCCGGCCCGGCGGTCGGTGCCGAGATGGCGGCGGCGCCCGGCGGGATGACGGGAGATGTAGTCCCGCTTCCGGCCCGCTGTGGAGCGCCTCGGCGGGGCTCAGGGAGCCCTCTGAAGCGGCCTGAAACACCCCGCAGCAAAAAAACGGGGCTCCCACTCCCCATTTCCAGAGCTTAGTAGTTAGGAGAAAGTGTTTTCCCAAGCCTGGAAGAAGTACAGGGGAGGCTGGGAGCCTTCAGGCAAGGGCCGCGGTGGTTTTAAGGGCCCTCTCCCTCCTTGCTGCCGTCAGTGGAGGCATTCCACAGCACCAGGTTTCCTATTACCGCCATCCATCATCTGCCAGCTCTTTCATCCTGCAATTAATTTTGTCTTTGTTTTTGATTTTCTTTGGTTTTTTGTGTGTGTGTGGTTTTTTTTGTTTGTTTGTTTTTGTTTTCTTTCCTTTTTACATTTCTAGATGGTGTGGTATAAATTGAGACCACACATTCCTTGGAAGCTGGCAGCATTATGAGTATATAAACACTGCATCCTCATTGTGAGAAACGATGCTCACTCTTTAAAATTTTTAAAAGTTTAATAAGGGATAAAAGGGATAAAATCCAGCACTGGGGCCCTCTGCTATCTGCCAAAAACACACCCTTAGCTTAAAACCACGTTCTTTATATACTGTTACATACAGGGGCACATGCATATTCGTAAGAGTTTATACATATTTAAACATTCCTTTGAGTTTAGATGTTCTTTTGCTTAGTTTTAACCTTTGACTTGTCTCCATGCCATCTTGTAGATTAAACCAATATATTTTATTTCTTCTCCTGGTTCCACCCTATTGTTTTTAAATTCCCTGATAACGAGGAGCCAGTAAATTGGGTTCTGTTTTTTGTCACTGTTATCACTCCAATAGTCTACAAACGCAAGGAACTACCTAATGCTCTTACACCATTCTCTTGAGTTAGCCACATAAAAATATTTTAACATCACATAGTCTCTATTTTAATATTATGCTACGGCCTAAGATATATTTATCAAATTTACTATTTACTATTTATATAAGCTATATGGTGCATACATAAACTCACAGATTATACTATACCAAGAAGCAATTAAAAGGAAATACAAATTGTACTATATCAATATCTTCGTGATTAATAATGATATGCAAAAGTTAATACATAAATGCAAAAGCCAATACTATATTGTCATTTACAACAATCGGCTTTGGACCCAAGACCCACCACCCACCCCTACTAAAAACGTGTGATTGACTAAGAGATGGAAACAGCTGTTCTCACAAAATTAACAGAAGTATCCATATCTAAGAGAAACATAGGTTCCTGATGATGCCTGATGTGAGGCCACTCCTCAAAATTTTGAGAGTTTAGTAAGGGATGATAAGGGACAGATCAATAAAGCAAAAGTAACAGTACTGGGTGACTGCAGCAGCCAGAAGCAGCCCAATTCTTTAGCAAGCCATCCTTTATACTGTTGCAGCTGCATTACTTCCCCAAATGACTCTGCACGTTTCTCAGAGCCCATTTACCACAGCTCTGCCTCAGGTTTCCACAGCATTGCAGAAGTCCACAGCTATAGTCTCTGAGGGTCCCTCAGGGAGGCAGTCCAGGGTGGACTTCCGATGCCACTTTAGACGTGGTATTCTGCTTTTATGGTATCTTGTTCTCTGCCTGTGATATCTTGGTTATACATTTTACAAGAGCAAATGTATCTTGTGATTCATCTTTTGCAAGCACACTTAACACCTTGTGATAGCCTTGCTCCATGCAAAATTTTAGTTCTACTGTTCACAAAAGCAATTATGATCTGCACTGTATCTACAGAAGTGGTTATGATTTATTATAATTTGCAAAAGCAAATACATAATAGCAAAAGTCAACTGTTACATAGCAGACTGTAACACCTGAAAATTTTGTTAAATCAACAGCTGAAACATCTGGATTAACAAATAAATCACAAGGGTGCTGATGGATGATAACGCTCCAAGGCTAACAAAATACGCTTTGTGATTAGATAATTAGAAATATCCATTAGTAGGTAATTGGATGATTCAAATCCTACCATTACGGTGAAAGTTATAAAACACCTTAAAGAAAAAATGCTGGTATGTGACAAGTTTGGCTGTGACACCTCATGCATATGATTAAATATTTATCCTTGCAATGCTATTCAGTCACCATGAGCCAGTTATTGAAACAAAGGTCAACAGACAAACAATTTTCATCTGTTAAAAATGCATTTATTAAGCTGGCTGAGAGAAAGCATTAGAGCCTATGCTCTTTGAAATGCTTCTCTAGAAGCATTTCTGTTCCATATAGATTTCAGTGGGTTTATACAGCATTTTTACTACATTTCCCGCTTTCCTTTTTTGCTTAGTATTCAATAAGCAAGCAATTAGGTATGCATTCCATCAAGCTACTATATCTTTAACCTATTGTTGATGCAAAACCAGCCAGTCTTCCTTATCTCTTCCCTGCACAAGGGTATAGGTATATATTACACCCAGCTGCTTGTCTTTCTATTTTACCAGTTCTGTTTACTAAATTTCCTTCCCATTGTTAGCTATTCTGTTATAGTGAAATTAAAATCTTTATTTTCTTAAGTTATAGTCATGTCAGTACTTCAATTTACATGTGTTAATTACAAGCTCCTGGTTTCATTGGCAGGCCTCCCTGGAGATCCCTTTCCTGGGGTCAGGAGACATGATAAAGCTGTAGCAAACTGAGTGGTACTGACATATTCTCTGTGTCTGGGTGACAAACCTAAACAGCACACAGGTCTGGCTGACAAGCAACCAGTTCTTTTCCTATTTTTCATGAGATTCAGTTCACTTTCTCCAACAGTGAGTCTGGAAGAAGGTAGTAACATGGCTAGGGTTGCGCTTGGGGTAGGTTTACTGTTCCTCAGCTTCTCAAGTGGAAGTAATTAAATACTAGCCCAGTGACTTTAACTGTCTAACCTCAGGAGCTGCTTCCAAAGTAGCTCATGAACTGCCAAACTTCACACACCTATGCTCAACACACATCTATGGTGTATCTCAAACTGAGATCAGATTATCCCAAGGAACAGACACATGCTACTCTTGCACTGGTTTGACTGCTGGCAGCTGCAGGAAGGACTTCAGCCACATCAGCCTGAACATGTGGAGAAACTGCACTGATAAAGCAGCAGGCTATAAAGAGTGACTCAGGAAGTGCTTGGACATAGACTGTCTGCAAAGAGTGAGGTCTCAGCTTGTGCTGGTATATGGGATTATTCCTCCCCAGGTGCAGAATAGGACTTGCCTTGGCTGAGCTTCATTAGGTCCCTATCTGCTGCTTTCTCCAACCTGTCAATTGTCCCTATTCAGAGGGACACCGTGATGTTGCCAGATGAAAAATCATCTGTGCCTGGTGGGCTAACATGATGCTTATTCTTCAAAAACCACTGGCCTGTGGAACTGCACAATATCCATTCTGCAAGAAGAACTAGAAAGCAACCAGCCCATCTGCCAACTTCTACCAGTTCACCAGGCAATCAGGTATCACTTTGGGCTCAACCTAAGAGACCCCCAGGACAGAACAATATGTGCACAAAGAAGTGGGAAAATATGGTAATGATTTCAAGGAAATTATTATCATATGTATGTTTATTCTGGAAAATCAATGAATATGCATGTAAAATACAGTATTTAAACAGGAGCTTTTCTTTATTCAGCATGCACAATATTTCAGAGGATATAGCCCCTCATGCATCCAGCATGGAATAAAGAATATCTGCTTCTTAAGACTACATATAATAGTACATATAGTACTACATACTACTACTATACAATATTGTATTGTAATATACAATACTATACACACATACTACATTGGTGTTAAGGGTTTGTTATTTTTACCCATTTTGGGGAACATTTAGTAACATCGATCACTATTCCCAGTTTTGAATCATCTATTAACTTGTGAGCATGCACTCTGCATGTCACATTTTCAGGGTCATTAAGGAAGATGTTGAGTGATATGACCTTAGTATTGACACAAGGGACTGGTCTCCAGCTTGTTTTTGTGCTGGTGATCTTTTGAACTCAGAAGTTGGAGCTGTTGCCAGCTGACTTCACTGTATAATTATCCAGTCCATACTGGGCTTCATAGAAACCTGATCAAGCTCAATGGAAACCTGATCTAGTTAAACATGTGCCTGCTCATTGCACGGATGTTGCACTAGTTGACCTTTAAAGATCCCTTTCAACCCAAACTGCGTTATAAGGACTAAGGCAAATAAGGCATTGAGAAACTAAATCTTTCTGTGTCTGCTTTGTAGAGTGAAGTTCTGGTTCTGTTGGATCTCGAATGGGAAAAAAACCACAAGATGCTTAAGAGAAAAAGGTGGCTTTAAAACTTAGTACATGTCTCCTGCAATGCTGGGAAACATGTAATGCACTAGACCAGGACAGTCCTCTCTGGTGGAGCCACTGCTGTACAGAGTTCTGTGGAGAGGTTCAATAGCCTCATTGTTCCTCACATCTTTACAGTATTCTTCCAAGTAAAACAAATCCATCCATCTCTTACTGTACAATACCAAACGTTCTAGAGGGTACACTGAGGTTTGCTGAAAGCATTACATTTTCACACATTCCCGTGGGAACAAGCCCTCACAAAGAGCACACACAGACTGCATTGTTAGTGGCAGCACACGTTGTATGCTCAGGTTCAGCAATCCCTCATGCTAACGTTCATCTCTGCAACCAAATCCTAGCATTAAATTCTGCCTAAGTTCTACTTGAAACCACCCACCTTACAATTCCTTTTGTGATGGCCCCCTGCAGCACTGCTTTCTACCAGGTCCCAGTCACACTCGGGGGTGGGTCCGTATTTTCTATTGTAGAAGCACTTCTTATTGGCCTTCACATTCTTTGACCAGATTGATTTGGTTTTCCTGACTCATCCTTGCAGAGTTAGGCAGTTTCTTCTGAGTCTTCTGTGCTTATGTCCAACTCTTGTACTT